TATACATACATACATACATACATACATACATATACATACATACATTACATATACATACATATACATATATATATACATATATATACATATATATACATATACATATATATATACATATATATACATATACATATATATATATATATGGTAAACATTACAAATATTAAAAATAAAGTTTTATCTATATTTACACCAGATGATGTAAAGAAACAGCATTTAAATAAATAGCAAGGATGATAATTTATACTTTGAGGTTTTACACAACACTTGACATATTTACATGAAAATACCAAAACAATAAAATATAAATATAGATAATTAAATCCCAACACCAGAATGCTAGGTACAAATGAAAAATTTTGTATTCTCTGGTAACCAAATAATCCCAAAATCATCCCCCAGAACCGCACCATGTGCAAGCAAATTCAGCTGGGTAAAATAACTAGCGTGTGTAATATTCATTGTGAATCTTTATAGTCTCAAGATGAATATGGATGCGAGATGTTGCTGCTGAGCTGTTTGCTCAACTAAGTCTCTCATGTGCATCAGTTTAAAATGAATTATTTCCATCTAGAATATTTGAGCAATAGTATAATTTTTAAGATGTGGTACTATTCAGTTTTTATTGAATTATATCATCACTGTAACAACCAAGACAGCTGAATAAAATGATATGGTTATCGGTTTTTGATTTGTAATCCGGTCGGCACAACTAAAGCCCTGTCCAGCCTATCAAATTTTATTTGACAAAATAATGTGATATGTTTTTGTTTTTTTGTCAAAATATATATATGGGCAAACAGTAGTTTTTTGTCAAATAAAATTTGATGGTCTAGACCCGGCCATAGGCCAAGAAATGTGGCTCTTTTGCACAACTGGATCATTTTGCATGATAAAATTTAATTGTAATTACAGATACTGTACTACCAGTATATTTTTATTATTGACTTAAAGTAAAAGTTGTTTATCTCTCAAGGCGATTTGGAGAGGATAAGTGTGATGAAGTTTTCTTCTGGATTAAGTTTGATGCAACTGCCAATGCACCCCCCTGGAGAAAGCGGACAAAGTTGTCGCCCACTAACGGACCTATTGCATACAGACCCGGTTCCATGTTGCTTTCCATTGTGTATGGATCTACATGTATCGGATTGCCTTTACAAGTGACAGGAGAGTTCGTGTGTACACTGTAAGACTTGCCATTGTCAGGAAGAAAGTCTAACTTTGGTTTGGAACCAATCAGAACACAAGCATGTGAGACTTTTATCTCTCTCTCTGTGCCTTCTGAATTCTTTAATAACACTGTCCTGTCCGACCTGAACTCTACAAGAGTATGCTGCTGTAAATTGAGGTAATTTTTGTTAGATTGCGGTCCACTGTTCATCATATTGTAGATTAGATTGTACTCGGGGTACAGGAGTTTCGGCAGACTCCTCAGAGGTTGATTTTTGTTGCTAGCTTTTCGCCTGAAAGCGTGCATAACAGGAATATTCAAACTCTGTGTGTATAGTATTGCATCAGCAGCGCTCAGTCCGGCTCCAACTATCAACACTGGGTCGGAATTTGAGACAATTTCTTCGTTCACTATAGCCTCCTCTAATTTCTTTAAATTGTGTGAAACATAATTTAGGTCTTCTCCTGGTACAAAGAGTCTATTAGGGTCATCGCTTGTGCCTGTGGCAAGGACAACATTCGGTGTAAAGATACAAAAGGGTTCCTCCGTACCCAAATCATTGTGCCTCGCAATGCCTTTCACTTCAAACATGTTTTCTCCTTCAAGCCTTCGACATCGTCGACACGCAATCTCAGGCTCTCCGTTTTCGGAATTTATAACTCGCATTCCTGTCAGCTTTTTGACGGATGTGACCTTCACATTTGAGTAAAAGTTGTCACCTAGGTTCATCTTCCTGACATACTCTGTGTAATACTGAGCAACTTCCGAAACATTTGCACGATTGTTATTATCTGGTCTTGCAGACTCGTCATTTTGTAACCTGTCATAAAATGAATAATTTAAAATATAAGAATGTCAACAATTCAACTCAACAAATTTAAATTACTACTTTGATTATTTGGATTGACCAACTTGACTTGCATCATTGTGTTTTTAATTGAAGTCATAAATAATTACACTTTACCGAGTATCCTGCAGCCATTTCTTAAACTCCATACCTGGCAACTCCATCCAATTACTCAGACTGAGGGTCAGCAATGTGTCGTCCATTTGCTGAAAGATAAAATTTAATGTCATTTTTATATCAAAATCTATACAGATTATCGGCCAAAATAAGGCCTTTGAACAATTCACCCATCCACAATAACCCCTCCTGTCAATACAATATACTGTACACAATAAATATTATTCATACAAACTTGCATGTTTCATAGTGCAGTCGGAGAAAAACAAAGAAAGTAACAGAGGAAAAAATTTAATTATTAGATAATATTAGTTTGGGTATGATTATTAAACTGACAACCCCACACAGATTTGCTTTAGTGGCTGCTGAGAATGTTATTATTAATATACAAGTATCTCTGGATATTGTGAATGGTTTGGTACCTAATCGTGGTGTATATTGTAGTACCTAGTTGTAGCTGTCTCTTATACACATCTAGATGTGTATAAGAGACAGTATACATACACATACATTTACACGCATATACATACATACATACACACCTATACATATATACATATATATACATATATACATGTACATATACACATGTACATATACATATATATATATACATATACATATATACATACATGTACATATATACATACATGTACATATATACATACATGTACATATATATATATACATATATATACATATATATATACACATATATACATATAT